GGGGACGACTGCGGTCAGCCGGCGTCATGGAATCTATGCATAAATTTGCATAAAATGCGGTCGACCGGCGAGCACCCACCACCACCGCGGTAATGACAGCGGTACACCGCCCGTTTGATTTCCTACTCTCCCCTTACTTGCATTTCATAATAATTCAACGAATTTACATTTTGTACGTTATAATAATCACGACCACAGTCCCTCTATCCCCGGTCCAGAAACGACTAGCGTTCTTTTGTCTCGAACCGCGGTGCGGGTAAACAAACCGTTCACACCCGGGCCGAGGGAGTCAGGAAGTCAGACAGATTACAATACCGTCAAAATATTCATTAAAATCGCAAAATTTACCGTCATGCAAAGCGATACCCCATTGTATGACTTCACTTTGACTTCAAATTCGGGCTACCACAACGTAAACAAACATGTAAACAAAATTATCACTATGAAATTTGAGTTTTTTTAACAGTGATGCACATCAAAACCAGCCTACCAACTCATAAACATCCAGTTCCTACAATGTAAAGCTTAATATCGGAAATTATATTCATCTTCTAGTTTTAATAGGGAAAAACTTTGTGTGCCAACATGCTGACATCTCTGAACAAATCTTGTCAAAATGGCGTCGTTCACGTTAACGTGATCGATCGAAAAACCTGTGATATTTCTGATTCTTGGGGGTTCATAACAGTTCAAGTCAACTATACAACAACTAATGCCTTTATTCTATGCAAAAGTGTATAACAATGCTTGTATATAAATGATTTTTTTAGCACAGCATTGAGTACATTGTCATTTCAAAAATGTCGCCATTTGCATTTACGATCTAAAAAGCATCCATAAAAGTCGCTCAATTTAACATTAACAAGCCATGCATGGCACAGTCCCCGTTAGTTATCAAATTTAAGATATACAGTTTTGTTTATAGTAATATAGCTGGAATATAACCATGTCAGGAATAAAATTAACATTTGTATCTGATCGTCAAACAAGTACTTGTCCATATTGAGAGATATTGCTTTGGAACAGCATTCAAAATCAGCCATTTTGAATATATGTATATATATAACATGATGTATAATGAATATTTAAAATTTAAATATAATCAGTCAAAACAAGTCGGAGATATGGGTCTAGAAGCCCATTCATTAAAACAAAATGGCCGCCAGACAACCATTTTGAATACGATCTGAAAAATAAATGATGTGCATTAGGAACCTGTAATGTCTAATATATATACCAAGTTTGAACGAAATCAATCCATAAATGCTAGATATTTGATGATTTTTTTAGCACAAAAATGGCCACCATTTGGCTATTTTGAATAAGATCGTCAAACCAATATATCCGTCTATCTATGACATGATGTATAATGAATATTTAAAATTTGAACATAATCAGTGAAAGCAAGTCAGAGATATGGCACGAGAACCACATTCATTAAAACAAAATGGCCACCAGTCGGCCATTTTGAATCTTATCTGAAAAACAAAATTATTTGCATCAAGGTCCCATAATGTCTAATGTATAAACCAAGTTTGAACAAAATCCATCTGTAAACAGCCGAGTAATGCTTGATTTTTAGGATTTTTTAGCACAAAAATGGCTGCCATTCGACCATTTTGAATCAGATCGTGAAACAAAATGATGTGCATCAATGTCGTATAATGTCTAATGTATATACCAAGCATGAACAAAATCCATCTATAAACAGCCGATAAATGCTTGATTTTGATGATTTTTAGCACAAAAATGGCCGCCATTCGGCCATCTTGAATCAGATCGTGAAACAAATTGCCGTGCATATGTATAATATCATGTATGATGTATGTGTGAAGTTTGATTGTGGTTGGTCTAGGCATTTCTAAGATACAGGTCCGGACGCACGCACAGACACACGCACGCACGGACACACAGAGGTCAAAACATAAGTCCCCGTTCTTGGACTGCGTCCGAACGGGGACTAATAAAATGAGGTGTGACAAATAACAAATCAGCCCACCAATTTTTAATGATATGTTTTGATCATAAAATTTCAAAATCGAAGACAAATATTGGTTTCCCGCCGAGAAGTGTGGTAAATAAAATATTCATTTAAATCACCCCAAAATCAAAAACGACAAAAATCTGGGTAAAAGTATGAAAAATGTTTGCGAAAATGTGTCGCTGCTGGTAAAATAGATGAATTGGAGAACTACTCGCCGGCTAAAATATGACCGTATACAGATATCCTGATTATAAAATTGTGTAAAAAAGCATGAATTCTTGAATAAACAACTAAGTTGTAAAAAAATACATAACAGTTGACGATGTAAAAAAAAGTGGCTGGCTGCGTACTGATAACGTGACAATGCTTTGCCCAACCCCGCAATGCCCCTTTGCCAGGGAAGGAGGCCAATTCACACCTAATACAATGACCGTTTCCAGACCGGGGATAGAGGGACTGTGTCACTACCAAGGAATAATTAACAATTGTGAAATGCAGAATGACCTGAATGCACTACCGTGAGCATTTGCTCATAAGCAATACAGTTGTGTTTTTATTTGAAACTTCTCTTAGAATATACTTTCGTTACAAATAGACAGCCAACAAAAATATTCTGTGACATGTTTCCTTATCTCAGAGAGCAGAGCAAACCAAATGATCTGATAGAAAGACAGCGACATATTTTGAGAAACATTTGCTATTTTAGAGCAATTCTATAGCGCATAATGTTGAGCAAAAATTGCATTTTTCAACACTTTTTAAAACCCAAATTTTTGTAATAAATCAGAAAACAAACAGAACCCCATTATTAACAATATATTAGTCACCAGCCTAGAATTTGAGATATGACATAGAAACCTATGGTAAAAGCTTATAATACTGACAAAATGGCCACTAACCACTACAATACAACCATTATTTTCTCAAAAATTAAGCTGGTGTTAAGTCAATATCCTTATATTGCCCAGAAGTACAATTAATAAATTCTAGGTATTTAAATTCAAGAGTAGGCTTGTACCTTAACTTACTTTCAGTGGCCAATTATTTATTTTTCATTATTATTACAGACTGTCACCATGCCTACATCTTAAACAGCAGTTCACTGATAGAGGGCGTATATCTGATACAACCTGAAGACTACCCTGAACCATTTGCAGTGTACTGTCAGGTGACTGATACTGGAGTGTGGACAGTTATACAGAGAAGACAAGATAACACTGTAGAATTCTATAACGAATGGCAGGCATATAAATGGGGGTTTGGTCAACTAACTGGTAACCACTGGTTAGGAAATGAGAAAATATTTTATATTTTGAGAAGTGGTGTGTATAAATTACGAGTTGATTTAGGGGACTGGGCGGGTAATACCAAATATGCAGAGTATGATTTTATGCAGATTGGTAACGAAGAGAG